TGTTAGCAGGAAGCAAAAATTAGGCATAAATGAGTTTTTTCAAGTTGGCAAGTGGTGTGCTGCAGATATCTGGGCTGGGATCTCAACTGTTAACAATTTATAGAAATAACTTGGATGAAGGTATAGAAGGTATGGTTGCCAAGTTTGCTGATGACACTGATAAGTTGGAAAGTAAGCTCTGAAGAGGAAATAGGATGCTGCAGAGGAATGTGCAAAGGTTCAGTGAGTGGGTAAATGTGGCAGATGCAACATAATGAAGGAGAATGTGAAATTGTCCATAAGGGCAGCAAGAATAAAAAGGAAGCATATTTTCTAAATGGTGATAAATTGAGAGCTTTGAGATGAAGCAGGATCTGAGTGTCATTGTGCATGAATTAGGAAAGCTGATAGATTTTATCACTTAGGGCAAGGATTTGTTTTTAATTATTCATTTATGGGATGTGGGCATTGTCAGCTGGGACAGCATCTGCTGCCCATCCTGAGTTGGTCTTGAGAAGGTGGTGGTGAGCTGCTGCCTTGAACTGCTGCAGTGCAGTTGGTGTAGGTAGATCCACAATGCCGTCAGGAAGGGGCTTCCAGGATCTTGACCCAGTGATACCAAGGAAAGGCAGTATATTTCTAAGTCAATCTCATTTCTTCCAGAAGAAATTGCAGATGGTGATGTTCCCATGCATTAGCCACCCATGTCATTCAGGATGGCACCACCAGGCACAATTCTCCTTCAGCATCCACAGTTCTTTGTTTTATTTTTGTACATGATGTTAACGTACTTTGTAACACATGTTACCAGGGTTGGAGGGTTTGAGCTATAGGGAGAGGCAGAATAGGCTGGGGCTATTTTCCTTGGAACGTCAGAGGCTTGGGGTGACCTTATTGAAGTTTATAAAATCATGAGCATGGACAAGCTAAATAGATAAGGTCTTTGTCCCAGGGTAGGGGAGTCCAAAACTGGAGGGTATAGGTTTAAGATGAGAGAGGAAAGATTTAAAAAGGACCCTGTGGGCGACTTTTTCATGCAGAGGGTGGTGCGTGTATGGAATGAACTGCCAGAGGAGGTGGGTACAGTCACAACATTTAAAAGGCATCCGGATGGGCATATGAATAGGAAAGGTTTAGAGGGATATGGGCCAAATGCTGTCGCATGGGACTAAATTAATTTAGAATGTCTGGTTGGCATGGATGTGTTGGACCAAAGGGTCTGTTTCCAGACTGTAAATCTCTATGACTGTATATGCACAGATATGTTTAGTCGTTTAGTTTCTCCTAAACCAAGTCAATTTTCTCCCAATGTGTTGCAGCAACTGTGGCTGAGAGAACAGATCAACCAGTGAAGCAGAAATAATTTACTGAAGTATATAAACAGTCCATAGAAGGTGATTATATAGGTTTCATTTCCCTCTGGGAAAGCACCTGGTCCCACCTTAGCATTTTGCATAGTGATGACAACTGAGAATGTTATGTGCACATCATCATGGTTGGTCAACCATGGAGTCTGCTTTATTTCAGAAAGTACATTTTGACTCTACCATTTTAATTTGCATTCACTTTAAATACTTTTATTCATAAAGCACATGTAAATCTAATGACCAGCATAAGCAGTAGCTTCATAGAAGATAAAACGACTTATTAGGTCGAGAGCTCTAGATAGTTGATTCGTCTCCACACGTCTTCTATCATGTCATGGATTCCTTGGGTGACTCTTTGATTTCCTATTGTTCTCAGCCTTTTTGAGTAAAATATCTGGAGAGTCAGCCAACTCTTGCTGCTGCAATACTGCTTGGTTCAATCAGACTTTCAAATTTTGTAATGTGACTCACTGTTAAAACAGAAGCTATAATCAGTAGACATTACCAAAACCATTTTTCCATGGTGCAGTTTCAAAGCTCTTCAAGCTGTCATAGTCATACAGCATGGAAACAGACCCTTCAGTCCAATTAGTCCACGCTGACCAAATGAAACTAGTCCCACTTGCCTGTGTTAGGGCCCATATCCTTCCAAACCTTTCTGATTCATGTATTTATCCAAATGGTCAATCAGAACAATTCAGCGCTTGCTAAAAGACTGGCTGTTTCATTGAATGTCCCATGTTATGATGGGGTACAGGACACTTGGAAGTGTAGTACTGCATGTTATAATTTGAATTCCTTTTCTTCAATCTGAAGCAGTAGAATTGTCAAACGGTAAATTATGTTTCAATGAGGATATGTATGCACAAAGATTAAACATGACCATTTAAATTCTAATAGAGCTCAAGTTTAATTCTGAAAAGGTTATTCAGGTGCCCACAATTCTAGATTGCTCAATGAGAAACTATGCCCCTCCTTGCTAAATGTAATCTGCTAGCTTCATTTATTAATTTATTTGTATTTCTTGTTCAATCAATTTATTGCTCCTATGGTGTTTGCTACTGTTTTAATTCAAGATTTCACTAATGACGACTTAACTTTCCAGCTTTATTGGTATTGTCTTGACAAAGCATTTGAAAACTATGTAAGTTTTCTTACATTGCACACGTTCTACATCATAAACACATATATTTATAGGAAGTCCTAACTTAAAAGTTGTGGCTGATATTTCTGAAAATTGCAATTTTAAATGAAACAGTTTCTCATAGTTTCCTATGTTAAAACCAGGAGCTAGGCTCTGTAGGGCCTTCCTTGTCAAAATAAGACATTAAAATATTATAGCCTGTAAGTTGGAATCTTCGAGTACAGAAGAGGCCCTTTGAGCCATCAAGGCTGCAATGATGAAAACTGCTCTCTACGCTAGTTCCATTTCCATCACTTGGTCCATATCCTTAAATGTTATGATATTTCAGCTGCTCATCAAAGTACGTTTTAAAGGTTGTGAGGTTTCCCGCCTCAACTCCCCTTCTAGGCAGTGCATTTCCATAAGTTGAAAAACTTTACTTGGCTAAGTTACATTGGTAAATTAAACCTTTTTTAGAAAAAATTAAAAATATAAAATAAAAATCTAACTTTCTACTTGTAGTCCCTACTGCTCCTTATTGATCCTGCTTCCCATTCCCTCATCCTCTTGGTCACTGAAGATCCTTCCTCTCCCTGACTTTTCAAATTGCAGACTGTTTCCCCCTCCCTGACCCTCAAGGAGTGGAGCCTGAGATATTGCTTTCCAAGGGTTTGGCACAATGACTCAGTGGTTAGCACTGCTGCCTCACAGGGCCAGGGACCCAGGATTGATTCCACCCTCGGGCAACTGTGCAAACTCCACACAGATATTCTCCCCCTGTCTGTGGGTTTCCTCCAGGTGCTCTGCTTTTCTCCCACAGTCCAAAGATGTGCAAGCTAGGTGGATTGGCTGTGCAAAATTGCCCATTCTGTTCAGGGATGTGCAGACTAGGTGGATTAGCCATGGCAAATGCAGGGTTACAGGGATAGGGCTGGGACGCGTGTCTGTGTGGGATGGTCTTCGGCGGGTCAGTGTGGACTCGATGTGCTGAATGACCTGCTTCCACACTGTAAGGATTCTATGTATGCACCAGGGAGGTGAATTCATTAAGATCCAGACCACTTGGCTGAGCTGTTGCCCACTTGTGGCCTCTTTGTAGCCACTGCCTAACTACACCTCCCTGAGATGACACATTGACCTTCTTGCTGTTTCTGCCACTTCCTCCAGCTTCCGTCAACTAGCCACAGCTGAGCTCAGTAGCTTCTGCTCCCTTTTCTCTTGTATAAAAACTAACACTGAAATCGGCCGTTTCTGGAGTGAATGCTGGTTTGACTTCTCACTGCAGCCTTGAAGTTTGCAGTATTCATTTTAAGTGATCTCATTACCTGTTGAATGACATTCCCCTACACTGAGCTACCATCTCCCCTCTGTTGTTCCTCCAATTGAGTTGCTGTCTGCCGTACGAGAACCGGGATTCTGGCTGCCAAATTACAGAAAGGTAGGGAGGAAATGCCAGCCCAGAGGAGCAGCTCCATGTGAAGTCCAGAGGCGGCCAGCTTGAGAGGAGCATTTCCCTACTGCACCTTCACCATTACACTCTTGATTTTGCTTGTTAAGTAAAATAGCAACAAATCAGGATTGAAGAGATAGTGAACATACAATTCAAAAGTGAGAATTGTACCTGGAAATGGCCAATGGGGCACTACTAAGGACTGACTACCAGTCAAAAAGGTGATGAACCACTTATGCGTAAGAAAATCTCTAAGTCTTCTGTCAAATGTTGTAATTTCTCATGTCTAAAATAAGTTATTTCAAAAAAAATCAACAGTAATTACATATTCCGGGATGATGTGATGTAATCTACTCATCGAAGTACAGTTGGTCTTTTAAACACTTCGGTAAATGTTTTGCATGAAGCTTCGGCAGCTCCTATAATTGTAGCCTTGAAAGTGATATATTTGCCCAGTTTTAAGTCCTTATTTGGACGTATGTCCTGTAGTCTAAGTACATGCCACGTGCACAATTTCCAAGGAACATGCTTTTTGGTCTGCTGAACCAGACTGCTGCTAAATTGAAACCTCTCTCATTGGTGCGGAGTGTCAATGCTCACTCCATCTGTCAGTATTCAGACTTCTGCTCCTGATACTGCATCATTCTGTGCTGACCTGTTTGGTTTTTAATCACCAAAGTGATTTAGTCTCACCAAAGTTTTAGTCTCTGTTTTTTGAATTTCTTTCATTTCAAAAATTGCTAACGTAAAGTCACCTGTCATTCAAAAGAAATGTTAAGAGACAAGAGAATTGATTTCATTCTTTTTTTTTCACAATTACATAGACATGATATTGGAATTTGAAAGCATTAATTCCACCAATTCAATGGCCATTTTAAATAGTAGTCTGTAATGGGATAATGGTATATTTTCCCTCACATTATGAACAATAACTTTTTTTAAAATTTAAAAATGATCCAATACATATGAATTTGTTTTAATTTTTGCAGTATCTTTCCTTACTTTGCTTTCCACAAATAAATCAAGGCACTCACTTAGAGGAGCCAATGCATCACATTTAATTTTCTTTCTTATTTCACAGCTACCTTAGTGATACTGATCGTATTGCAGCACCAGATTATCTGCCAACTCAACAGGATGTGCTGCGGGTTCGAGTGCCCACAACTGGCATCATTGAGTATCCATTTGATCTGGAGAATATAATCTTCAGGTACTGATTGGGGCCTGTTGTAAATTTCCTAGGTAGCAGATGTTGTGTCTTCCCAGTATTTTCAAGTTTAATCTGATGACATACGGTACTTGTAAATTTCTAATTAGTACTCATGGATTAGTGTCAAGGACAAAAATCCACACCGTCACTGTTTTGGGAATTAAACATGTTTTGTGCAAAATCATTTTTCAGACAACCTTGCCAATTCAACTAAAATGTGCTTTTTTTTTAAGAAAAAGTGCAAGTTTCAGTAATTCCATCTTAAAGCAATACTGGGAAAATGCACTCTGCATTCTAGGGAAAGTGGCACAATCTGGTGAGGAGTAGGTTTAAATGTTAAGAACTATCCCATATCACCTCCTTCAATGAGTGGTACCATCTTGAGGAATTCACCATGACTCTTGTTGCCAGGAAGAATGGTGATCACCACAACATCCTGTTTCTATTTTCCTCCCCATCTTCCCTCTCCAATGTCACAGTCTTTGCATTCCTGTTGTTTCTCCCTGTCTGTAGCTATCTTAAAGACTTGGACCGTATAGCAGAACCTACCTACCTACCCACTCAACAGGATGTGCTTAGAGTGCGAGTCCCAACAACAGGGATCATTGAATACCCTTTCGACTTACAAACCGTCATTTTCAGGTAGAAGAAAGTTACTAAAAGACAGTGGAAGCTTTTTGTCCAAGTTGTAAAAACTATTATTTTCAAAGACTCTTTGAGCATGATGTAAACTGAATTTCAAATTTGTAAACTTAGAGATGATTGGAACAGAGCAAATTGCATGCTGCATAAATTTATGAATATTCTAAAGGCAATATTTATTTAAAACATATTCAGTGTTCGTTTGAAAATTGCTTTTTTATTCTTTAAATTAACCACATATTCTAATCTTTATTAAATAACAAGATCATTGGATAAGTTAAAAACTAATATTTTACATTTTAACTTAACAAAAAGAGACTAAGGTCCATGTAAATTCTTCAAAATGAATATGATTTAATTTTTCTACGTTGAGCTGTTATTTCATTAATGATATGAATATTAGTCAAATACATGTACATGACAAATTTTAAGGACTTCTTGGTGATTGTACTACATACTTGAAATTTGGACCGGTCAGGTTTTCATAACATTCTAGCTGGTTCATATGCAGTTTGTTTTTGCATTGGTCTTTCAGAATGGTCGATGTTGGGGGTCAGCGGTCAGAACGAAGGAAATGGATTCACTGCTTTGAAAATGTGACATCTATTATGTTTTTAGTTGCCCTTAGTGAATACGATCAAGTACTTGTAGAATCGGACAATGAGGTGAGTTATGTTACGGGTGACAATCCATGTAGTCTGTTTTTAATCACATGATTAATTTTGCTTTCAATAAAGATTATATTACAAATTTGTGTTTGATACACTGTACCACAAAATAAAAGTAGTTTGTATTCTTACAGCATTTATTTTATCAAAGAAGTAAACTAGTGAGGAAAAGCAACACTAAGCCAAAGAATTGGTGAGGGCAGGCTGATTGAAGTCTTGTGGTGAATTTGAGGGTCTTCATAGACACTGATGACTTTTTAAAAGATATTTGCATTTCCAGGAATCAGCTGAAAATATCACAAGATTTCAAATTTAAACTCTTTTGCTCTGACAAACAAACTAAATGTGACAATATCTGGCACTGTTCAGTAGGTAACCTAATTGCTAAACTACAAAAAAATGTATTTCCCCATTGAACTTTTAATGTGACTGAAAATTTAACTTTTCCCTGGACACAGGTAAGGTGCCAGAAGACTGGAAAATAATTCCAGCTCTTACAGACCAAACAGTTTAACTTTGATGTGGAAGCTTCTAGAAACAATTATTCAGGATAGAATTATTAGTCACATTGGAAAGGTGCATTGATTAGGAAGAATCAATATAGATTTCTAAAGGAGAAATCGGGTTTACCAAACTTGCTAGAGTTTTTTTTGAAGAGGTAACTGTAAGGTTCAATGAGGGTAATGTTTTTGATGTCACATACATGATTTCCAGAAGGCTTTTGATACAGATTTGTGAGGAAATTTATAGGTAATGGTATAAATGGGACAGTAGCAATGTCAATACAAAATTGGCGGAGTGTTGGGAAACAGAGTGTTCGTCAATGTATACTTTTGAGCGAGAGGAAGGTTCACATCGGAGTTTCTCAGAGTCATTATTGGAACCCTTACTTTTCCTGAGATATATATGAATGATTTGGATCTTGGTGTGCAGGTGATAATTCCAAAGTTTGCAGATGACACACAAAACTTGGAAGAATTGAAAACTGTGACGAAGAGTGTGGAATTTCAAAATAACATTGACAAGTTGGTAGAGTGGGCAAATAGGTGCTGGATGAGGTTCAATGTAGAGAAGTGTGAAGTGATGCACTTTGGCTGGAAGAACATTGAAAGACCATATAAAATATGAAGTGCAATTCTAAAAAGGGTGCAGGAGCAGAGGGACTTGCAGGTATATTTGCACAGATCATTGAAGGTGGCAGGACAGGTGGAGAGAGCAGTTAATAAAACACAAAGTATTCTTCCTTTATTAACAGAGGCAGAGAGTGTAAGAGCAAGGCAGTGATGTAGAACTTGTGTAGATCACTTGTTAGACCTGAGCTAGTGTATTGTGTACAGTTATAGGTGCCACATTAACAGAAAGATACGAATGCACTAGAGAGATTGCAGAATTCCTGTACGAGAATGGTTCCACTGATGCTAAGCTTCAGTTATGAGGATAGGTTGAAGAAGTTGGGACTGATGTGCTTAGATAAAAGAGACTGAGATGAAATCTGATTGAGGTTTTCAAAATCATGAGCTGGCTGGATAGAGTAGATAGGGTGAAGCTGTTCTCACTCATAACAGGACCAAAAATGGGAGGACATAGATTTGAGCTGATGTGCAGAAGAAGCAAGGCTAATGTGAGAAAAATCTTGTTCACACAGTACGTAGTTGGGTATGAAATGTGCTGCCTAGGAGTGTGGTAAAGCAAGTTCAGTTGAGGCATTCAAGAGCATTGGGTGTTTATTTGGATATTAATGGTGCACATGGATATGGGGAAAAGGCGAAAGATTGGCACAAGGCAATGATGCTCATTTAAAGAGCTGGTGATTCAGGCATGGTGGTCTGGTTATATAGGTAGTACTGGGCTGGCTGCCTCTAGCCCCTACGCTCAGATTTTTTGCAGATTGCGTTAGTGATGCCACTATAAAAAAACCTTGGTAAACTGATATTACAATGATTTTCTGTAGATTCTTTCTATCTGCCTTGTAGTATAAAATCACGTATATTTTGTATCCAGGTAGAAATGCTAGTTGGGTATTTCCTAAACATTCAACTCCATTATATCTTGAATTTACACAAACAGTTCAGCTTTTTATAAAAATGGACATTCCTATCACCTACTTATGATTTTGAGATTAACGTTCTACACATACTCAGCACAACTGCTTTTACCATTGTGTAGAGGTGTAAAGATCTAGCACTACCTTCCCAATACAACAACTGCCACTCTCTTCCATTAATGACCATGTCACCATGGCTTTTCATTGAGCAAAATAGTAGAACACATGACTCACTTATTCCTCTGGTTTGCCTTGAAGAAACATTTGTATTTGTAACTTGAAGGAGGTACAAGTAGCAAAAAGATATAGAGATGGTAAGGGTGGAAGATAAACAGCTGCTGGTGGGCAGGGTGTTGGATCTGAGACCAGAATAAATGGAACTGAGTAGAGGAAATCATAGCATTGGCAAGATTACAGAGACAGAAGGAGTTACATCATTGAATAGCTTAAGCACAAAGCAATACATTTGGGGTGTATTGGGACTGGGTACAATATCAGCCAATGAAAAGATGATTGATGTGCAAGACTTGAGTGAAGTTATGGCTTAACCTGAGGTGGTGAATAGTAAAGAATAGGGTTAGCAATAACTTGTTTCTGTTCCTTGTGGCAAAATGTTGAAAGATGGAATTATTTTTGAAATTTGTTTTTCTCCACTTTATCTGCCTTTGTTCTGCTACTTGATGTAATTCAAAGTAGTAATTACTGTACTGTTGCTGTGTATTTTACCTTTGAATGATTGGATATATGTAACCCCTATAAACTGCTGAATTCCTGATCTTGTATATATGTTGAGCAAGTAACAAACTGGGAATAGTATTTCTCTACTGCTAAGGAAAGAATTGTCAGTATGCGGCACTAACATATCTCTGTGTATCCAGCATTTGGGGAGCCATGAACAGTAAACCAGTTTCTACTGATCGGTTACAAAATGAAGAGGGGCCCAGGGAGGAGAAATTTAGGTTTACAAAAGATAAGCCATGTTATTTAAACAAAGAAACAATCGTGGAATATTACTACAAGAATAAATTTAGCTCAATCCTTTTGTTGAAAGAAAGACATGTGAATTTGCAAGAGCTTCCAAAGACTTGCGTTCCAAATTCATCACAGAATTTTGAAGAGAAAAATGTTGTTTCAGGTTCGTAGTCTAGTGTTGAGTTCTAACCTATCCCATTCGGGAACTGCAAGATGAAAAGATTCTGTAGACAAATTTGTCTATGTAACATAACAGTGAGAATAACCATTGTCTCAACAGAGCACCAAGTATGAAAGGAAACCCACTTTTCACAGATCATCACTAGAAAGATTTTCAGAACATGTAAAATTTTAAGAAAAGGTAATTAGATCAAAAGAGGATAACACTGGCATATTTTGAATTCTGCTGTGTGTTTGGCTTACAAATTAGATCTAATGTTCTGTTTGTATCAACAAACAAAGCTGTTATCCCTGACTCGTTGTGGAATCAGATTTTAATGGGACATTAGAAAACCGTGCAGGTGAGCCCCAAAGTAGGCAGTGACCTCTGTGCAAGATTGATGTTCAGACCAAGCTAGTTTTAATGTGGAGCTTAGTTACATGCCACAGAGCTAGCAAAGAAGGTGTCTGGTTTGAGACAACTGTTGGGGATCAGCGGGAACACCGCAGGGCACACTGGTGAATGGAATGTGAAAGATGGGAAATTACAGGATGGAGGTGTGGATGCTGGAACAGAGGAAGCCTAAGACTTCTGTGAGGGTTCCGACGGAGCACTCCTGTTACTCTTGGCCTACAAATAAATACTTTTCTTTTTAACAAGAAGCTTACCATAGTTAACATGTCTTGGTTTCAAGTCACCTCTTCAAGGAGATATCAAACATCATTAATGATTGTCATGAAGATCCAAAAACCGATGTTCTTTTGAAAAGAAAATCTGCTGTCTTTAAACTGGTTTTGATGAGATGTGACTCCAGACCCACAAGAATGTTGTGGCTTCTGAAATGCCTTAGAAAGCCAATCAGTCCAAGGGCAACTAGCGATGGGTGGCACATGCTGGGCCTTTTCAGCAATATGCATATTCCATACTGGAATAATTTTAAAAATGTGGGCATATTACCAGGTGATATCTTTGTTAAGTTAGTTGACATTTCTTTTATCCTAATAATGTTATCCTTTTACTCAGTGGAACTTTGGCTATTTAGCACCTTGTTTTGAGCAACATTTTCACCTGGCTTCACAGAACTGTGAAAAATAAATAGTTTCAAGCTCAAATGTGGAAGCAATGTGTACATGAATAGCCTGTGAGGCCTCAGACTTTTATCTTAGTTCTCCTAATTTCTGATTGTGAATTTTGTTTGCCTCAATATAACTATTCCAGAATCGAATGGAAGAGAGCAAAGCACTATTTAGAACAATTATCACATATCCCTGGTTTCAGAACTCCTCAGTCATCCTCTTCTTAAACAAGAAAGATCTCTTGGAAGAAAAGATCATGTATTCTCACTTAGTTGATTATTTCCCAGAGTATGATGGTAAGTAAATTGTATTTAAAATTATTGTCGAAGGATTTTTTATAAAATGCAACTGCATTAGTTTTCACACTTATAGTCGATATGAAATTTTGAAAAACAGATCCTTGGTTAATATCCTGCGAATTGTTGAAGAAACTGATCAAGTATTCAAATGTATTGAATTGGAATCTCTGTTAAATTTAAAATAATTTGGTTGCAGGGAATGTGTTGTTTATTTGCTTCTTTCCTATTGATTTACAAATACATGAAATTGAGTGAATTGACACAACACTGAAACATGTTGGAAGGTACAACATAGAAACAAGTGTTTCAACCCAAACTTGTCCACATTAATGTTTATCCAAGTAAGCAGTGATATTAATGTCATAATTTCGCTATTTGTATATCTCAATACCATTTTTTTTAAATTCTGCCACCTATTTAGCCTAAGCGACATGAAGATAAGGGAAAACAATTAGCAGCAGCCTTGGGTTAGAATGTGAAATAAGAGAACGCTTAAATGGTAGAAGTATTTTGTGATTGACCACATGGGAAATTCATCAGATATATATGCACACAGGCACCCACAGACTTTTAACCAACTTTTCAGATTATTGTCTTTTAGGGATACGATCAACATTAAACTCTTTGCAGTTGATCTGTAGCATGTGTGAAGAGAGCAAGAGACATTGAAGCTGTTCAACTAAGTCTGCCAAGTCTAAATCAGGAAAAATGAAAGACTTGCATTTATACAAAATTTGTAATGATTGGTGGACATCTCAAAGCACTTCACATCCAATCATGCACCTTTGAAATGTAGTCAGTATTGTAGGAAAAGTGATATCTAATTGGTGCACAGATAATGCCTAAAAACAGCAATATGATGATAATCAGATGTTCCGATTTTGTGGCGTTGGTTGAGATATAAATATTGGCTAGGACACTGAGGATAACTTCTCTGCAAAATCAAAAATTGTTGTATGGACTTTTTACATCTGTTCAACAAATTATTGAGGCCTTGACTTAATGCCTTATCCAAAAGGTAGTGCCCTGACAAAGCAGCTGTCCCTCAATATTGCACTGCTATGCCAGCCTTGATTTTTGTGATCATACCCTTGAGTGGGACTTGTACTTAGAATCTGGTGATTTAGAAGTTCTACCAACCAAGAAGCATAAATTAGATTTCATTGATTTGAAAGTAATATATAGAAAATAAGAGAGAAATAAAAAAAAGAGAGATGGTAGAGACAGAAAGGAAAAATAACTTTTTTTTTAAATCTTGGGAACACAAGGTTTTGAAGGAATTAGACTCTACGTTTTTAACTTTTCAATTCTAAGAAGATTGAGGGTCAGTAATTATGGCCAATCATCCTAAAACTTATTTTACACTTCAATTCATCAGCGTAACCTTTTTTTTTTCCATGCTAAGCAGATTAACAAGTTGTTCATGTAACAGCCTCAAACTTTACATGGATTCCATTTCTGGTGGTAAGGAACTAACTCATTGTTGCTATTGAGTAGAAGTAGCTTGGATAGCAACTCCTTGATTCTCGCATCTAACTATGTATATGCATGCTTGAGAAGTTGCTGTCCAATTTACTCCAAGTGGTGAGTGCTTTTAACCTCACAATTATTCTCAATTCAATAATCAGTCAGATTCAGAAAAGGCCAATGGAATATTATTTTTATAATTAGAATGCTAATACCTGAATTTGATTGGAGAGGAGGTGGAATTGCTACAGCTATTTAAAGACCTATTTCACAATATTTGGAGTGCTGTATACAGTTTGGGGTACTACAACTTAGAAGAGAGATCAGTCTTGGAAGGAGAGATTCACCAGACTTGAAAGGTTAATTTAAGAGGAGAAATTACATAAATCTGGTTTATATTGACTAGGAAAGAGGTTAAAGGGTTATTTTTGTTTTTGAAGATTTTAGTATTTTGAAAGTAATTGACAGAGTGGTTCGAAAGATTCATTTTCCGAAAGTAAGGCATTTAAGAACTGGTGGCAGGTTCAGTTGGCAGTTAGGAAGGCAAATGCAATGTTAGCATTCATTTCAAGAAGGCTAGAGTACAAGAGCAGTGATCTACTGCTGAGGCTGTATAAGGCTCTGGTCAGTCGGCGTTTGGAATATTGTGAGCAATTTTAGGCCTTGTATTTAAGAAGGGATGTGCTGGCGTTGGAGGGCATCCAGACAAGGTTTATAAGACTGATTCTGGGGATGAAAGGCTTGTCATGTAAGGAGCAGTTGAGAACTCTGGGTCCGTACTTGATGGAGTTTAGAAGGAAGGGGTGTGGGTTTGGAATCTCATGGAAATTTTCAGAATACTGAGAGGCCTGGATAGAGTGGACATGGAGAAGATGTTTTTACCAGTAGGAGAGACTATAGGACCTGAGGGCACAGCCGCAGAGTGATGGGATGACCCTTTAGAACTGAGAGGCGGAGGAATTTCTTCAGTCAGAGGGTGGTGAATCTGGAAATCATTACCACAGAAGACTATATGGAGACCAAGTAATTGAGTGCATTCAAGATAGAGCTAGACAGGGTCTTGATCAGAAAGGGAATCAAACTTTACAGGGAGAAGGCAGGAGAATGGGGTTGAAAAACATCAGCCATGATCGAATGGTGGAGCGGTCTCAATGGGTCACATGGCCTAACTTTTGTTCTTATTCCTTATGCTGTTGTGAATATCATCACAGAATCATTGCTATGCTATTCCAGAGAGAATTTAGGATAACCTATTAATGCCAAGGTTTGTCAAAATATGGACCCTTTTCCCACAAAAAGCCATGGGTTCATGCTGAATTAATCATTTTAAATGATTTGTTGGAGAAAAGGAAAAAAAGAATAAATGAAAGGTCTTGTGGCACAGCGATGGTTGGCCTAGTTCAAGTTTCACCTGCCAGAGACGTGTTCATAATGTGTCTGATCAGATGGACTTAAAAATGCTTCAATCAATATGGAATTAAGGCAGATTGATGGCGTTAATGAAGAAGTAGACTTGAAATGAAAATAGTTCTGGAGAAACTCAGCAGATCTAGCAGCATCTGTGGACAGAGAGGAAAAAAACAAAGTTAACATTTTAAGCCCAGTGAAATATCTTCAGGATTCCAAAAAATCGTTTTTCTCTCCAGATACTGCTAGATCTGTTGAGTCTGTCCGGCACTTTTTGTTTTTATTTCTAATTTCCAGCATTTGCAGTATTTTGCTTTTATTTGGTGAAGTAGCCTCAAGAGGTGAAATAGCCTACTCCAGTTTTATGTTCATGTCTGTCAGTGTTGACACTTAACAAATTCATTGTTGCATTCTATGGCCCCACAAAACATTTGATTAAAATAGGAACGAGGGACATCACTTCACCGTTACCATCAACTTTCGGGGCAGTAAGTTCAAAAACTTTGCTTATAGTTCTTGAATAATGTCCCTACAATACTTCATCATTCTCAACAACTTGCATTTATATCACACATTAAATGTAGAAAAGCTTCCAAAACACTTTACAAGAATGCAACGAGACTGTTAACATCTTGGTGGATACCATAACTTTTGTAAATAAATTAAAACTCCCAGCTGTTAACAGAATTAAACTACAAGATTTCACATTTTAAACCTGTTTAATTTTATAGGATTTAGACTAAATAAGTAGTACAAACTAAAAACTGTGGGCTGAATCTTGACATTTATCAGCCAAATGTCAATTTTGAGCAGTTTTGCTGGAGCACAGATGACTTGTTCCATACAGTTCTCTGCTGCTCACCTCATTATCGATTTATCAGCTAGCCCCCTATTTAAGGTCACTGCTACTATTTCGAGTAGCAGTACTGTTGTGGTCATCAGAGGTGCCAGATCTTGCTGACATTTGTACTGCAGGCACTATATTTAAAACGCCAGCTGTGCACCATCTTAAAAGTTGCTAACCAGGAACCGCCTTTAGTGCGTTGGCTGTAGAATTGTAAAGGATATGGCTGAGAGAAAGGAAAATGGAGGCTGGGGTGGTAGAAAGGAGGACTGTCCTCTTTTCCTAAGACCAACTGCACCAGATGCTGCCCGCCTTGGCTAGAGCAGCTACTCAGGTCCATTAGACACAGGAGAAATAGCTAGGTTTTTAAAGTTTTTGGCAAAGGTCTGTAGCTAGGGTTGTGGGTGAGGTTGTTGACTGCTTGCCGAGTTGGCTTGTTCTCGTTCACATGTTTTGTCACCACGCTAGGTGACATAATCGGTGGAGCCTCCGATGAAGCGGTGCTATTCTACTCCGCTTGGAATTTATACTGTTTGGTCCGTTATGGTAAATTCCAAGCAGAGTAGAATAACACCGCTTCATCGGAGGCTCCACTGATGGTGTCACCTAGCGTGGTGACAAAACATCTGAACGGAAACAAGCCAGCTCGGCGAGCAAGTCAACAACCTCACAGTAGCGTTTGTTGGAGACAGTCAGTAAACTGAATAAATTGGAGGAATTCACAGTTGTCAGCACAATGCTGGCTGTGATGTGTGCATCTGGCTATCTCCATGGACAGGTTGGCAGTTGCCATTGAGTGTCACGTCCAGCAGAATGCACAGTGGCTGGCTGCTGCAAATGCACAAAAATATGGATTCTGTTGCTTTTTATCACTGTTGGACAGCAACAACGATAAGGCAACAGAAGGAAAGAGGAACCTTAACATCACTCCAGGTGCCCTTTTGCCACAAGGTAACTGGGTGATGCTAGCAGTCTCCTCTGAGGATACTCCAGAGGTGCCCAGCATGCCCCAAACCTATGGAAATTACAATTGAGGAAGGTGAGCCTGCACAGGACAGACCACTCTCAGCAAGTCTGAGCCCTCTAGTCGCAAACACTGCCAGGGTCATCCACCCAAATTCTTAAGACCAATATTTCCACTAAAGTGCAAACTTCCTCCATCCCAGCTGTGAATCCCAAGATTGTCTGTAGACGTAATGGGAAGGCACATAGGTGGCATGCGTAACACTTCGTTGTAAGTAAAACATCACACGTAAATCTTTTCACTTTAATAATCAGCTGTCTGACTGTCATTTTAGTTGTGGGACCAAGAATCAACAGAAATTATCCTTCCTTGGTATCATACAATGTTTAGAACCCTGTCTGAAGGGTGGTCTACTCTTTCCTTAATGCCTATCAGAGCATACAATGGTATTCTTGATTACGGGAGCATCAGATGTTATGACACCTTCAAAAAGTTAACATTAACTTAAACAACAGGAAAAGTGAAGAAAGAACAAACAAAAAGCTGCATTTGCCTTTGGAGCTAAACAGACTTTTGCATTTGAGGCAGTAGTACATCTACTGTAAATTAAAAAATCTTCTCCTTCCTCCAACTGCAGTTGGGTGCCATCTAAGTCCTGTCTCGCTTGTAGCTGACACCTTCTTATTACAAAGGTGATATTCCTCCCACTCAATATCCTCACCATCTTCCTCAGGAGAGTCTGCTACTCTCCCATTCTTTTGCGTCCATCATATCCCCCTTTTCCTGCCCTTGTTGTGCAAAGCAAAGGGTGCTAAGATTATGTGGTATACTGTTTTGGAGTATACTGCAAGGCCCCTCACCCCAGATCAATTCAAGCGTTGGAACCTTTGGAGACCTACTGTCAGTTCCAAGATGGCCCTGGCGGAAGAATAGGCTGCATTATATTGATGCTTGGCCTTTGTTAGGATATTGTAAAATAGTTTTTAGCCATAGTTGGAGATGGTAACCCTTGTCTCCTAGCAGCTATTCCTTGTAAAGCATTTGGTCCTTGGAATAAAGCAGGAACCTGAGAGTTTCCAAAGCTGTTGGCATCATGCCAGCTTCCACAGTCCTCTAAGATGTGATAACAATGATCACCGATGATGTGGACTGGAACCTCGACACACTGTGTATGTAGTCTGTAGCACCCTGTATGTGGGGAAACTCCGTTATGTCGGCAGAGCCTCCTGCCCAGGCAGTAGCAGTGACCTCCTCACAGGGATACAAGATGAAGTGGTGTGATCTTGCACGAATGTCACCTGTACCAGCTTTGATACATTTGTGGATCCTGTTATGGACCAGACCAGACTCTTCCAAAATATACTCAGGAGATAGCCTACATTCTTGACATTTGTCTTTACTTAAAACGAGTGTAATGGACTGTTCCAGATGTGATTTGTTTGGGCCACCAATAGACTTTAATCAAAAACTCTTCATTCTTAAGACACAGTTAAAATACAGAAGAAAAGAATTGGCATAACTTTAACTCTATTGAAATACTTAACAAGATCACGTATTACTTAACCACTAATCATCACCTGTTTCAATATAGGCAGCATTCCATAAACACAATTCAGCAAAACCGTTAAGAGTCTCATATGCTGCCCTTCTCCAGTCCAGCAGAACCAAATACTGAAAGAAACAGTCTGCTTCATTTTATTTCTCAGAGGAAACCTCTTGTTTAAGACTCTAGCAATGGAGAACGCAAACTGTTCGCTCAGTAGCAGCAGTAATCTCTCAAACAGAAAGCAAAACTAAAAATCTCCTTGGGTCTGTGGGAGTCCTAAACCTGTCTACTCAGGGATAAATCCAAGCTGTTTACCTACTGCACATCTGACAGGCAGCATGGTGGGTCAGTGGTTAGCACAGCTGTCTCACAGCACCAGGGACCCAAGTTCGATTCCACCCTTGGGCGACTGTCTGTGTGGAGTTTGCACATTCTCCCTGTGTCTGTATGGGTTTCCGTCGGGTGCTCCAGTTTCCTCCCACAGTCCAAAGATGTGTAGGTTAGGTGGACTGGCCATGCTAAATTGCCCATAGTGTTCACGGATGTGTACGTTAGGTGGATTAGCTATGGGAAATGCATGGTTACAGGGAAAGGGTAGGGGGATGGGTCTGGGTGAGATGCTCTTCGGATGGTCAGTGTGGACTAGTTGGGCCGAATGGCTTGTTTCCACACTCGATTCTCTGATTCAGATGTTCCAACACCACTGTAGTAACATCTCTCTGGAAGAGAAACGGCACAGAACATGTATCTCTTAAAGGCACAGTACCATCACAATCTCCAGCAGAACCTTGGAAACAATGTCCCCTCCCTACAACATTCATGTTACTGTCTGTATCTCTATCAACTCCTGTCAGGTTTATGTGATCCCACGTTCCCATCCAACCCTTTTATTAAACTATTAATATCACCAATGTTCTCCCAAAGCTCTGGCCTACCATAAAGGAGTAACTCCCTGACTGACTTAACAGTACTCACTGGACTGGTTAGACTTGACCTACAGGACTGACCACAATCCAGTTAGCACGCTGGAAGGACATGGAACCTGATTGCACCAAGCATCCAGTTGATCATGGCCAAACCCCTGGAATGAAACGAGGTGATGCCCTTGACTGGACTAAGGACTGTTCCTTTTGCACTTCCAAACATGGCCACTTGGTTGAAGCACATGTAGTGAGTTAGCTGCTGGCACATGCTATAGTTATGACAGTGACATAGCATATTGTCCAACACCATCATGTCTGCCCCTTGACTGTTCAGCGTTGGCAACCATAACAAGTTTCCTGACTTTCTGTCTGCACTAAAATGCAAGGCGAGACACAATTGGCTATAAGTTTGGAATAAAGTGGCAATGCACAATAAGAAACACAATGCAGAGATGCTGTGAATGTCCAAGTAAGCACAAAGTGATAGAACGCTAAGAAAACAAGCCAAGAGCCCTGAGATTCACCCTGTCACAACACACAAGATGGATATGTCTCCTGGCCCCTAGCAATGCAACAGGTAGGTGAGTTCCCAAGTACAGTATTGTAGTGCTGAACAGTACTGCAAATTAGTCTGAGATCTGCAATGATGATATGGTAAGGCTGGTGCTTTGCTGATGCCAACTTCCATGGACAGAGGGTGCAGGTAGTTGCTGTTTGTGGAACGTGCCCTGAGGTGTTGGGATATGATAGCGTTATCCAACATGTATGAGAGAAGATGCTAGCAATCTGCTGCTACCAGGTAACTGCTGTGGTTTTTGGGTTGGGAATTGGCACCATCTAATTTCTCACCAGTACCTGGGAGAATAGCAAATTGCAGAGAAATGAGGTGAGGTAAGTTAATAATGAGATGTTAACACAAGCAAATAGGGTCCTCACCACTGACCAGTGAGATTCTGATTTGGACATTGAAATCTGAAGTGGAAACTAAGATTTTTTTTGGTGTTGAGAATCCTGGTTTTTTTCCATTCTTGCTGTGTTCTCCCAACTTTCTCATCATTACTGACATTAAGATACTGGGAAAATTCCACAGCTTGTTTCATAAATACTTAATAGTTAAATTAAAAAAATCTCAAAACAAAACTCCCTTCAACTTTTATTTCCACCCACATGTTTCCAAAACTAAAGTGTTCCTTCACTCTCCTGAGACCAAACCAGGGCACAGCACAGCTCTAGGAATTCACTTAGATTCTCCTCTGAAATGTGAGAGTTCTTGTGGGTCTTCCACTAGCATTCAGCTAAGCAAACCTTCCAACAGTTCACAAAAATGGGCCCCCTGCCGCCTTGCTTAGAAAGTCTGAATCAGAATCACTGCTATTTTTTTTCAAGATAGCTGTTTGCTCTGATCCCTCCTTTATAACTCCTGATTCAGTCTTCAACTGCATGTTTCTCTGAGAAAATCATGCAGCTAAAATCCAAAATCAAAAATAAATCTTCCCTGCAATCTATCCTTGCAGCATTGTGGCACACTTGGGATATCCCACATGGTGATTTAAACTAATCTCCAATTCCCAAACATCCTTTTGTTCAGGGAGACAACACACAACAACATCAAGTCTGCACTAGTGTTTTTCTCCAATTACACTGTTTGATCCGCGTATCTTACTCACTTTCTGTAACCTTTAACATTTCATCTTTCGGAAAAAGTAAAATGATTGTACGAGGAAACGTTGCCCTGATGTGGCAGGCTGGGCACCGTGAATCTCAGTTGACAGAATACTTCAGCTGAAAATGGGAAAATTCCATCCGTTGTTTGGGATGGGAGCTAATGTTAGCCAGGATACTTGAAGATCACTTGGTTCTTGTATGTAGAGGCATTGGATCTATAAAATCGACCTGGACCAAAGGATCTGGTAAACAGGATTGTGGTTTCAGATTGCATTCAAAGGATAGTGATAGCACCTCTTACTGTGGAGTACATCCATGGTATTGCAATGAGTTGTCACTCCAGGTTATGTACTCTCATCAGCAGCCTTTGTTATTAAAAACATGAATTGCATTATAAATTGAACCATTTTATTGGTAACTTCGTAGATTATTTGACAGTTTATTTATGTGTAGAAATATTTAAAAGTTACATTAAAAGCTCTAATTGTCTACTTAAAAACATGAACAGTATGCTTAACTTTGAATTGTCTATGGTTCTAATGTATCAAAGCCATTGTTACATCAATGTGTGGAGATATTAAATAACTGTATACTGTTTCAAATTATCTCATTAACAGGACCACAGCGAGATGCACAAGCAGCGAGGGAGTTTATTTTGAAGATGTTTGTGGACCTGAATCCTGATAGTGACAAAATTATCTACTCTCACTTCACGTGTGCTACAGATACAGAGAATATACGGTTTGTCTTTGCTGCTGTCAAGGACACTATCCTACAATTAAACCTAAAGGAATATAACCTGGTCTAGTTTACTAACTGACTTGGTGGAAACAAAACAAGAGCAACTGTATTATCTGTGAAAATAATTTGCATAATGCTAATTTATTGCCATTCTGGACTCTGTGCGCTTCCACAGAGATTTAGTAAATATTATGATTTTATTTAACAAAAATGGGGCAAAAGATGCTGACACACCTTCGCAGCACTCGTCCACTTTTTAGGCAAAACTTTGTGACTTTGTGTAAAATTTTCAATTTTCACTGTAAATTCTGATTTCAGCACTCTGAAGGTAGGGTTTTTTGCTTCTTCAAGCACACCCCTTCCTTTTCTTTTCCCCAAAGGAATACTTGAGGTACAATGTCCCTTTTCTTGTCATCTGTTCCTCTTAATGCTCAATGGTACACAGTAAAAATTGTAATGTTTTTGGCAGATACCAAGCTACCAATGGTATAATTATCGTACTTTTTTCTGATAGATGAAAAGTATTGGTACTGTGATTTTTAAATTATTGATATGTATAATTTAATCATCAATTTTCAAACTAAGCAATTTGTCTTCATCTTAAGCTATAAAGATGGGAGCTCATAAAGCAATAGGTGATTGCTCATCTGTAAATGTTGCCACACTTGGATTCCCAAAAACATGGATAGATGTAGGTAAGAGTACAATATTGAGAATGTTGTGTACTTGTAAAACAGTATATGGGGTTCAATTTCTATTTATTATGTGCCATTCTATTGCTATTTACTAGACTTGTTTTACTGAAAGATGCCAAACAAAATGTTATCTACACTACATTTGCTGATTTTTTTGCAATCTCTGCTTGGGTCTTTCTCCTTAGAACTGTAGCTGGAGACATCATTGACGTACTTAATTTGCACCAGTGTAGTTTTTAAATGTTACTTCTTTGGCTTTAAGTGAAAAAGTTTTAATATTGCCACTCATGGCATTTTCAACGTTTTTGAAGTTTTAATGGATAAAAATTGCTTTACTCAAAATGCCTAAAATCATGTGGCTCATATCACAGTAGTGACTGCACTTGAGCAGAAGATGAATGGTAAGCAAATAACATTGCAGTATCAACTCCTGGGTTCTTCTAAAAGCCGTTTCTTGGACACATGCCAAAACAAGTGAAGAAAATAAAATGGTGCTCTTCCACATTATGTAATATTTGCCATTAACTATGTATTATTCTTTGACATAGGCAGATCAGTATCCATGACCAATTTTGTATCTTAACTTTTTTACACATATGTTGAAAGGTACTGTGATTATGTTTTGATTAAATCCTGCCAGATCCCTCATTTTAAACCAGAATGGTTTTCATTTTCCATAATGTCCTAGTAAATAAACCTGTGTCATTATTTTCATTCCTTTCAAAATCTGGTTCTAGGCTTTGGTGACTGTTTGTTTAAAGAGCAGATCTGTGAACAGACATGACTGTGTTCCTTTAACTTTCTAGTTTTCAGGATTTTTTGTTTTTTGAGCTGTTAACATAGATTATCGATGGTTCAGGTAGCTAATTTAAAATTATCTGTACTGTCCATTATCAGAGATGATATGTCTTTGTGCATGGTTTCCTGCTTCAAAAGAGTAGCTTTTGTTTCTAAGGAGCACCGAAGTTAATGGTCAGTGATTTGTCCCCCTCATTCCTGCACCTCCATCAAACATTCATTTGTGCTTTCATAGACAAAGCTCTTATAATTTGTAAAACTTGGCTGTAGGCATAGTGTACTTATAATCTTGTAATAATTGTGTGTGAATACGTATATATATTATATATATGTGCACACATGCGCTCACATCCATATTGGCTTTGTGATAATTTTGGCAGATTGAATGTGCTGTATTGATAATATATATCTATGTAATTGTATTGTAAGTCTTATAGCTAATTTGCATTTTGAATAATGTTATTTACTTTTTTTACGAGAAGCGAATGTAAATTTTTGCCAGTTTTTTTCTCAATTAGGGTTTAAAATATTTTCTTTTTGTAAGTCAAGATAATTATCATAGTGTAGTAGCCTGATTAATATACATCACATGGGTTTCTGATCAAAGAATTCCTTCTGATAAAATTTAAATCTGTCCTTTCTCTCCCAGAAAGTATTTGTACAAAGTTTAATCAATGACTCCGCCCATGAAGCAATCAAAAAAATTGGCTTCTGGATTTTGTCATGTATAAAAGAAAACAACTTGCCATAATTCCTTAAATTAAGAAAGTGTTTTAGATCAAAGGTTGTATTTTGGGGAATGCCATATGCCAAATTCTTGTATCTGTAGTGTCTCTGATGGAGTTGGTCATAGTTTACATTATACAGAATGTCTGTATTACCAGTAGATACATTTAAATTTGTGTTTTATGCCTTATGGCAGTGGAGTCAAGAACTTTGTGCCTCAGAATTGAAGCCTAAGACAAGAGATGGCCTCTAAAACGTGTGTGCTGTGTTGGGTGTCAGAATTGAAAGCTAGATGTCGGCTTTTACTTTATCAGTAATGCACTGGAGGGACCAATGCAATGTCATTAATTCCTGTGAACAAAGAAAGACATTATACTGTCAAATGAAGTAAAGCCAAGTCCAGCAGCTACTTGCTATTTACCAACTCATGTCACCAAGTGCAAACAAATAAATGAAGTTAGGCATGCTGTATGTAAAGGTGTAAGAATGACCAGTAGCTTGGTCGACTCTTGTAACATCTACATTTTTGTAATTGAATAGAATGTACATAAAGTATGTTAATTTGGCCTACAAAAGCCCTGCCTTCATTTACTTTTTAAACTGCTCAGTCAATTAGTCTTCAAGGATTTTAGCTCATTGGCACTTTCAGCAGAGAAACTGAAAGTTGTTAAGAAATTAAATACTTTAATTGAAAATTGTGAATGGCATTATGGCTGCCAGATCAATTCTGCTCCTAATAATATAGAATTGAAGAGATCTAAATTACAGTAAAGTGAAACAGTGTGCGCCATGGGCAATTTCTTGTAGTGCCAGATTCTTTTAAATGTTCTGGTAGGACTTGTATATTTAATTCCTGTTAGATAATTTTAACATGCAATATTGTAAAAAAATCATATTTGCTGTTTTTAAATTGCCACTTAAATGCATGTATTGTCATTGTTTGGGGAAGGGAAATAGTTTTTGGAAAAAACTAATGTTGTATATTAATGCCCCAAATGATCTTGCTGGTTACAAATATAGTATTTTTTGGCCATAATTTTGTACTGGTTTCATTTGATGTCTCCTGGTTGTATTTTTCTTCTCAACTGCTTTTCATGATACTGTACTTGGAATAAAATTTTATTCCACTGATTTTGTCTTCACATTAAAAAAAATTATTATCCAGTATTTTTTCAGCACGTGAAATTAATAATTGTCCTTCAGACTCTCATGGGAAAAAACTGATCAATGTAGTAGCACAAAAAAGACTTGTCCCTTGTCATGGATTGTATGTTCAATAAAATAAATACTTTGAATTTTTAGTGCTCCACATGTTCATTCTAACTTTACTACTTAATGAATATTGCTATAATAATCAGGCCCTTTCACTAGTAAGTTGTCAATGGAAAATATACATAATATAAAAACAGATATAGAAGCAAATAAAACGTTGCTGTTTCTGATACTTTTTTCACAAAGTCATTTGGTATTCAGAGCTTGAATATTGCAAAACAAAAACAGCCATGTTGCCAAGGCTTTTTTTTTGCACTAAGGACAAATATCAAAATGTCAGATTTCTTTTGATCAAATAATTTAATCAGAAAAACAGTGCCCACTGGTTGGCAATTCAGATATATTGCCAGGGAGAAAGTTATTTTTCAAAAAAAGTTGTTTTCTGTTTTGTCAGGTCATTTAAAAAAAACATTTTAAAGCTTAAGTAGATTCCTTTTTTTTGAGGACAACAGGTCCTTGCATCTGAATGTATGTGACATCTGTAAGTATCACGAGTTTGACAGATTATCTTAAATTTTGTCACTGTAATTATTATAACACTCCAGATTGGTCAGCAAGTGCTGCAACCTTTCCCTTCACCCGTTCGCCTGCCGCCCTATTCCCCTCACCCATTCGCCTGCCGCCCTATTCCCCTCACCCACAGATGTGCACCTTCTCACACACACACCACCTTACCCATTTTATGTACACGTTTGCTATTCCTGTGTAGTTTTTCAGAGGTTTTAGGCATTTAAATGGTTTACTTACCAGACTTGGATAACTAGTGCTATAAAAGGGGTTATGACAGATAGATAATCATTTAACTTTTCGTCTGATCTGTGTTGGACATAGGAATCTGATCCAAATTGGATGATTCTCTAATTCAGTTCATTGTGGATATACATTGTAATTACTCTTTCAGTTGTCTCCTGCCCAACTTTTGAATTTCCCATCCTAAAACATCTGCACCTCAATCCTGTTCTTCAAGAGGCTCCTTAAAATCTACCACTTTGGTCAAGCTTTTGATCATTTGACCTAATAGCTTCTGATTTGGCTGACTATTATATATGGCTTTAATAATGCTCCTGTGGAAGGCCTTGCTGTGTTTCATTACACTAAAGATTAAAAATAGCATTAATAGCAGAGCACTTGGAAAACAGTAATGGGACTGGACAGTGTCAGCATGAATTTATGGAAAGGAAATCCTACTTGACTAATATTGGGAATTTATTTGAGGATATAATAAGAGTTGATAAGGGGGAACCAGTGGATGTGGTTTACTTGGACTTTCAAAAGGCTGTCCAATAAAGGTCTCACATAAGAGATTAGCATGTAAAGTTAAAGCGGATGGGATTGGGGGTAGTATACTGACACCGATAGAGAACTAGCTAACAGGCAGGCAACAAAGAACAGGAGTAAATGGGTCATTTTTTGAGAAGCAGCCAGTGACCAGGAGAATACCACAGGGATCAGTGCATTGATCCCAGTATTCATATGCATTAATGATTTAGATGAGGAAACTAAATGTAAATGCCCAAGTTTTAAGATGGCACAAACCTGGGTGGGAGGGAAAACTGAGAAAAGGATGCAGGGTGCTTCAGTGATAATTGGATAAGTTGAGTGGACAAATGCATGGCAGATGAAGTATAAAGTAGATAAATGCGAAGTAGTTTATTGTCTGAAAGGGGAAGGTGCAACTTTGGCCTCTGTGTCCTTGTACATCGGTCACTGAAAGTAAGGATGCACCTGTAGCAGGCAGTGAAGAAACAAATGCTATGTTGGCCTTCATGGCAAGGGTATTCGAGTATAAGAGCAGGAGTAGCTTGCTGCAATTGTATAGTGTCTTGGTGAGACCAAACCTGGAGTACTGACTTAGTCTCCTTATCTCGGGAAGGATGTTCAGACTGTGGAGAGAGTGCAATGACGATTTACCGGACTGATTCCTGGAATAGTAGGACTGATATATAAAGAGAAATTAGATTGGTTAGGACTATATTCATTTGAATTCAGGAGAATGCGGAGGAATCTCTAATGGGGCTAGACAAGGCAAATGCAGGAAGAATGTTCCCAATGACCAGGGAGCCCAGAATCGGGGCATAATTGAAGGATATGGATTAAGCTATTTAGGACTGAGATGGGTAGAAATTTCTGCACCCAGAGTGGTGAGGCTGTGGAATTTCCTGCCACAGAAAATGGTTGATGATAAAACATTGAACGCTTTCAAGAAGGAAGTTTTATTTCTTAGTGCTAAAGGATGTGGAGAGAAAGCAGAATAAGGTACTGAATTAGACGATCAACCATGATCATACTGAATGACAAGGGCCAAATGGCCTACTCTTGCTCCTATTTTCTATGTTTCGATGTACATAAATATTAGTTGCTGTTCTCAGGAAATTTCTGTTGGCAGAATTTTTGCAGATTAAATTGTCTCCTGATATTATGGGAGTTAGAGCAACATGATTGTAGGCACACTTGAGTAACATGAAAGCCATGGAAACTTTGTGTGATGATTTGGGCTGTGAAATTACATTTATCAAAGATACACTCTTGTTGGGTTCTTGGTGTGATACACTCACTAATGCTGATATTAAAGGAAGTAATTGTGCTTTAGCTTGAAAACTATGTCCTTACAATCTTGTCCAAATGTTTTCAAAGAGAATGCGTTATGTCAGATGAATACAATTGATGCAAACAATACTTATTACCAAAATTTGGTACATTAGCCATGATAGATGCCTCAGGTTTTCAAGAAAAAATGGCATTAAAATGTCCACAGAATTTGAAATCGCCTCCCTGAATATAGTCAGCTGCTTTTATTTGAAAATACTAAATAGATCAGGTATGGAGGGGTCACAAATGTTGGAAATGATAGTTGTGAACAGCCCAAGGGGACGTTACTGCACTAAAATTGCAAATTTAAAGGACATTTACAATCAGTGAGAATGTTACTGCAGGCCTATCTACCCAGCCCTTTTGAATCATTGATTAATTTCTTTATTGTGAAGCTGGGACAATGGACCTTTATTTCTTCCAAAAACAAATTCAGTCAATCCTTTAAAATTTGCCATGGATTTCAATTATTCAAATGTGTTTAAATTTCATATATTTCTAACTCCCTTAATATTAAACTGATTCTAGTCATTAAACCTAATAGAAAATTCCTAAGCCCAACAATTTTTATTTTATACAATATCTTTAAAGTTGTGAAACTTGCCAAGGTTTCCACAGGAGCATGATGGAGGGATATGTAACACTGAGTCATGTAAGGAGATATTAAGTCAGATGATCAAAGCTTATCTAAAGAGAAATGTTTAAGGGATTGCCTTCGAAAAGGAGAGCAAGATAGAGAGGTGGATATGATCTAGGCAGCCAGATTCAGGGCTTGGGACTTGCAACTGACTTGGAACCATGGGAAGCAGATTCTCTATCTATGATTAGATGGATAAAAATGGAACCAGGTAAGACCAACCCATCAAGTTGGATGACAATGGAGATATGAACTATCAAATATTGCACATAGGCCAAGGGGATGACGAGCTTTGTTATTAGTCAAATAGGGTGCTACTTGTGACATTGATAAAAGTTCTTTTGGTGCTCTGGCAGGGGTGAAAACCTCATTCAAACATGGAGTTCTAGGAAAGATGAGGATATAACAATAACTTTTGGAGAGGAGGGAAAGTTGGAGATAAGACAATAGTTTGCAAGGCTAGTGGGGTCCAGGTTTTTTGAGACAATGAGTGATGATGGCAAAGTTAGAGTGTGGCTGGAACCTGAAAAATGGGAATGATTTTACTATGTTGGCTAGGATGGGAAGGGAAGTTGGGTCAAGCAGTATAGTGGGAGCAAGATCAAGTGAATAGCAGATCGATCTCTTGAGCTTAGAGAGGATTTGTGGGGAAGTAGGAGAGAAATTAGACAAAGATGAGAGCCAGGACTATGGTAGGCTGAGCATTAATAGTTTGACCAATGAGCTAGTTAAATGGAGGGGCAATGCACAGGATGCTGATACTATTGTCTGAATCTTAGTGACAAGTAAGTCCATGAGCTCCTTGCATTATTGCAGGGAATAGCACAAGGGTGGCTTAAAGGGACAGATTGCTTTCAAGGAAAGTAGCCAGTGGTAACGCTTGCAGTTTTAATAGAGGAGAGCAGGATATGGCAGTGCTTTAAGTGACTGAACCAGGTCTGGCAGTGAATGACCTTTCAAGTCTGTGTTGCCTGTACTTTAAGGGAGCCGAGATTAAGTCTGCTGGGGAGAATATGCAGGAAGAGAGAAGTAATGGTTTTAATGCAGATTGGCACATGTGAAGTTGAGGCTGAGTAATTCAGTTGCTAAGAAAGATCAGACTTCTGTGAGGTTTCCCTTCATCTTCCTTTTTTAAGAGTGTAAATTACAAATATTGACTTTTTTTGTTCAAATCTTGAATTGAGGAGTTAGCTTTATAGCCCTTTCAATGCACTGTTTCAACATGCTTATTGCAGAATCAATGCACAATGAGACTTATTCTGGACTACTCAAATAATGCATCTTTCAAAGAATATTTGGGCTTTTCCTTTCAATTATAGAGACTTCAGTTGAGGCTCAAATTTATTGAAAACTTCTCTTACCTATTCCAGTCTTGGAGAATCTATAGAAAATAGCAAATTTGTAAATTTGTTTAATTTGCAAGTTCTCTCTGCATTAATACCATGACTAGGGTCTGCATGTCTTTGATTAAAGAAAGCTGTAAACCATGCTGTTGTAAATAGCCAATAAATGTTTATTAGATTCTGATCCTGAAGCAT